ACAGAAGGTTGAGCCTCTTTCAAGTAACCTGATATTTCTGTGTTTTTACATCGATTTCCTATTTTTAGAATATTCAGCGATGGGTAAAAATAGTCTCTTCCCACTTCTAAATTTTGCGGCATCACCTGGAGGAGTGGTAGTTGAGGCTGATGTTTTGTTTGTGAACACCGGCTCCTTTTTACTGCTTGTTAATAATCCATGCGAGAGCCCAGCTTACTTTAGACTTGGTTCAACAGCGGCCCTAAAGCTGCAATCAGTGACTAAAATAAAGTCGGTCTGAATCAGAGAGGCTGATGATTTACGTTTTGAACGAGCTCCACAAGGTGAAAATAAAATGCCACTTCAGTCAACCAGACTGATAATTGGAAGGTACGTGGGGAGTTCTCAGATAAGTGTCACTGCCCATTTACTAAAACACTGTGATGTAGCACGTAATGAACTGCAATTTATTCTAATTGGATAAAATCTTAGACGGAACTTTGCGGCAGCTTTAAAAGATATGTTTCCCCAATTCGACATCCAAGTTTGAATATTAATGTCTGTAATGTACAATCTTCCTGTGGCTTGTCACCAAATAATTAGTTTGACAAATTAAACAGAGGAACTGTTATTCATTAATGTGGCGTACACTGTTCTGCCAAATGGAAAAAAAAGTGACGGGCTGCTTTCAACACAGCCATGGAGGCCGGCTCATCTCATCTTATTGAATGGGTACAATAAAGGGCTGAGATACTTTTGAGCGATTATTCAATAAGCAGCTGTGGGTTCTCAACAAGAGAAAGAAGACGTTTCAAACGGCAGCTGAAATTGAGAGCAGCCGCGACCTTCTACTGCCGGATGAGGAGAAGCTATAGCTCAGCTCCCTTTCGCACCCTCACCTTTAATGTGACCAAATAGTGATCATCACTCTCCAAAAAAAAAAAAAAAAAAAAAAAGGAAGGAAGTTAACTGAAAACCCCATCAGTGGATGTATCAAAGGGACATAGGAGGAAATCACATCTATGGAGGGCAGTTTTCATTTTTCCTCTTATGGGAGAAGAATAGGTCCTTCCCCGCTGACACATTCTGACAAATTAAATGTATTTTGCTTCACATTGTTCATGGCTAACTATGGGAATATGGACACACTGGCTAGCTTAATATCAATTTAACTTATTTTTCAGAAACTTTGTAAGCTAAAAAAGCAATATTGTTGCTTTTCGAACAGTACACTTACAAGATCTGACTTCATAGTAAAAACAGAACGTACTATATGAGATGATAAGAGAAAAGCAGGGGATAACGAAGAGATGCCATTGATGGATGTATATTCTTCATCTTATCTAAATTAATGTTTTCACATTTCTTTGGCAGTTTTTTTCATGACAATATGTAAATATATATATATATATTTTTTACCAAAAAATCTCTAGTAATTGTTTTGTAGCTTTAGGAACAATTTTATTTTTCAACTGTTAGAAATCTTACAGTTATCTGTGGTTATCCTTTCAGAAGATCAATCAGTCAATAAAGTTTATTTGTATAGCATATTTCAGCAGCAAGGCTGGTCAAAGATGCGTTACATAATAAAAACAGAAAATTACAAAGTTCACAAGATGGCCTTGCCTTCGGTATTTTGCAAATTAGATTGATTTTATTAAAAAGATAATGTATTAGTCCATGTCTGCCATTTGAAACTCCCCACAGGGGGCATGATTATTATATGTCTTTTATCTTCTTACAGGGATCGAGATATTTTTAATTTAAAAAGGACAAAAAGTTTTTTCTTTTTCATTTCTATCTTTAATCACACAAAACAAAACAAAACAGCACAGCACAACACAAAACAACAGAATTAGCATTTTCTTTCTCTGTCGGTACTCTAACTGCTGTGATTACACTTCCAGCAATGTTAGTGACTCTGACCAGGATTGAAGTCTGTGAGCTCAGACCGAAATCAGCCTCCTGTGGTTCGACTGCAGGAACTCCTGTGATGATCTATTTCACACACACGCACACATACGCACACACACACAGCTACCAAATGCGCACACACACAGCTACCAAATGCTTTGTGTCTTCAAAATATCAAAATAAAAAAAAAACCGTAAGAAAATGTAGGTACTGGAATCGCCTTTTTCATCTTCTGAGAGCAGTTTTCAGTGACACGTCTAGGATGGTGAATAATGGCGGCTGACTAAGATGAGGAGTGTAATGCTTTCCACTTTCCCTCCTCTGTTCACTTTCAGACTCATAGCTGCTGTTCATTTCATTTGTGCTAAATTAACCTTGTGCTATCAAGGTTGATGTTCTTTGAATGCCAATGAAAATGAGGAGAATTTATTTAATTCACCTTTAACAGCTTTCTTCAAATTCATTCCATGGCCAGACCTTTATTTGCCAAGTGCTACACACAAACAGAGAAAAGCAGTTCCAGCTGATGAAAGGCTTTTTTTTTTTTTCTCAGAGTAAACGCATCTAAAATATTTGTCTGGGTTTTCAGACAGCCCCTATAGGCCAACAAAAAGAGCAACTGAGCAGAATCTGCAAAGCACGACAAATCTACCAACATCTGGCAGTTGTATCGTAACTCGGTCAACGCAGATGGAAACTGAATTAAAACATTACGTTTTTTTTTTTATCAATCAATTAATTAAACAAACAAACAAATAGATGAACAAATACACACACACACACACAAATAAATTTGCTATAAGAAACATTTACGTTGCTTTCAAAGTTTGCCACAAGTAATGTAAGGAACACAGTAAATAAATGGAAGAAGATGCCCTGGTCAGGGGAGAGAAAACTGAAACATCATGACTGACATGCAAAGCCGCGTCTATGACAGGACGCTATAACACTAGACATCGCCTTGAACACGCCGTACACATGTTGAAGCATGGTGATGGCAGCACAGTGATGTGGGGAAACGTTTTCTTTTTTCTCAGCAGGAACAGAGAAACTTTGGCCTGCTGTTGTCTCTGATCTGCTGGTTGTAATTGCCAGAGACATATTTACATATGTTGCCATGTACGGACCAAACGGGACGGAGCCAAGATAATATGAATGTGAAAGATTCTGAATGTGGCTGCAGGACAAAACGTTTTGTTTCCCAACCGCCACTGACATATTGGTTGGTCTAAATCTGTTACAGGCGCTGTTCCCAAAGTTTCTGCTCAGATTTTGTTATTTACAAAGAATAAATTGGAATTGAATTTTTTTCTTTCTCTTTGAAGCTTTTGCAGGATCACAACACCTTCCACTCAGTAAATGGAGTTGCAGATGCATTTCAGCACCGCTGGTCTTGGCTAAGTGTTACAGTGTGTGTGTGTGTATGTGTGTGTGTGCGTGTGTGTGTATGTGGAAAGCAGATAAAGAAGACAGACATGGGGCAGGTGGAGGCTCTGGGTTATTAGGCCAGGTAAACAGAAGACGCTTGTGTAACTCTGGCTGATAATTCACTGACCTTTACCTTTTACACTCTAATGCATTCTAATAGGCCAGCAGATCCCAGCATGTCTCCTTTGTTACCAACACACACACACACGCACATAAGCACATACGCTTTATGATGGCCATTCATCACAATGACATACATACACATGTACACACACCTATCTGGTTGTCTGGGAGATCAAAGTGTTTATATTCCTCTACCTAAAAGCCCCTGAGAGAAGGAGGAATCCCCGATCTGTCAAACACACGCTAACTTGCTGAAAAGGACGCAAACTGAGGAAACGATAAATGTTCATCATGTTTAAAATGTATTATTTTCCTTGACCAATTAGTGCCAAGGAAAATGAATGGCACTCCTGGATTGTCAGTTTTAACAAACGCCTGCCAATGGCATGTCAAGTAATGTTGCACCTAGGTATGTTGCCATTCCAAGCTGCATTGTTTTTAGAATGATTGAGGAAAAAAAAAATCGGAGAATAATTTGGAGTTACACTATATAGAAAAATCCACGGAACGAGGGAAATTGCAAAGGGGGAGACGGCGAGGATCCACAACAGCAAATACAGAAACAAATAATTTACAAAAATAATAATAATCAGCTGCACTGTTAATTGCCCTTATGATCCTTTTAAAATAAAAAATAACTCAAGTATTTTTAGTTCATCCTTTATATTTCTTAACTGAGTCAAGTTTGCATGAACTTTAAATTTGAAAGCCCTGTCTTTATGCTTATCTGGAACATATGGGCCCTTCCATCCTTAATTCATATTCTTACAAAGTGAGTATTTAAACAAAATGTAATTTACATAGAAAATTGGCATTTTCTGAAGGACGCTGATTCGAATCACCCAAACAATGGTGCATCAGTGTTCTTTTATGGCCATTTCATTCCCTCAGCATAAATCATGTAGAAAACCAGAGGGGTGAGCTGCAGAGAAGACAACTCACCCCAGCTGGGACTCGGGGGGGCCACCCTGCAACTTTTAGTCGCAGGGATCTTGGATACAGATCCCAAGTCCAACACACCTGAATCAAATGGCTGAATTACCTCTTCGGCACGCAGTAAACCTCCACAGAGTTCTGCTAACGAGCTACTTATTGATGCATTTGTGCTGAAGCAGACGTAACATCTAAACCCTGCAGGAGACCCGCCCTCAACGACTGGAGTTTGGGACCCCTGACTTAAAGTGACTGTGCAAAAAAGGAATAATCAAAGATCTCTCTCTTTGTATGAGTGAGGCATCCTACTGGGGACAAATTACACCCAGCAGGAAAGTCAATAACTGTGCCACAGGGGATTTTGTCTAAATCCCCTTTTTTCTTAACTTGTGAATTTCTCCTCGAGTGAATAAATGTGCTCAGATGAAAGGTTGGCTTTCTCTAGAAATGTTCCATGTTAAATAATATTTCTGCATTAAATGAAAGGCTTCTTACACATCTTTACCAGGAATGCCAACAGATATGTAGACAGCATGTGAATTGCTCACTGATTTGTAGAATTTTTTTTTTTGTCTGGTGTTGCATCTGTATACAGTTTCTTATGTTTGCTCTCTGCTAGTTCCCTCTCTAGTTAACTGTGAGGGACCGAGACCTGCCAGAGGTGGCCCGCAACATGCAAAAGGATGACCGGTCCGGGGACGACAGCCAGCGGGAAAGTGTAAGCTAACACCAGTTTTAATAGTTCATTTTAAAAATATGCTTTAGGATGGATCAGATTTCAGTTATGCTTTTGGGATTTATTAGTGTTAGAGTAACCCATTAAGGGCCACAGTTAACATCTAAGGTGGCACAGTGAGATTGCAACGAAACCCAATAACTACGATGCATGTCGTAGTAGGGAGATTGAAATTCTGAGCACGCTTTTCAGAGTCGACAGTTTGACTCCGCCGTTTAGCAGAAAGGTCTTTTACTTGAATATTTTACATGCACGTCCCTGAATACTGATGCTCAATTTATATGTTGAGTGAATTGTTTATTTTCTATTTTCCAAAACAATGTTCCACATGATATTCACAAATTTCTCTGCTGGGTGACATAGTGGCGCTTATGTCTGGTACAAACCTCATATTTGAACATGCACTCTGTTATGCCATAATAGCCCTGTTTTACTCTTCACCTAAAACTGTTGATTTCTCTGAATAGCAAAGTCTCATTTTGTTGATTCATCTGCCCTAATTTCTGATTTCTCAGATAAAGATAAAAGGTTAATTGGATTTAAATACCAGAAAATCTTCATCGGTCCCCTCTAGAGTAGCTCAATGCAGTATATCAGTCCATAGTGGTCGTCACTGATATCCACTATAAACAACAGTATCATGATTAAATATGTTTCAAAATATATGTTCCTTTTGTCTGAAGGCCTACTGCCTACTCAAGCGGATAAACCATCTGATTTGTCTGGACTTTTTGTACGTTGATGGCCACCTTGACATTTGTTTTCCAGAAATTTCATCCTCTCTTTTTGAAGAATTAGTGGTCCACAAACAATATGAATAGAGATTTTTCCTTGTTTCCCCATAATAAGTGAGTGTTGTATTCAAATAGGAGAAACAATAATTAAAATCTATTTTTGTGTGAAACCTTAACTGAATATTTATTCAAGTGCTTTACTTCCAAGGTTTTGAATTGCAGAAAAAATGTTTTTGTGGAATCTGGAGTTCCTGATGGAGCTGGTTTCACCAGTAATGAAAAAACAAACAAACAAACAAACAAACAAATATATTTTAATGCACAATACCACAGTGAATATAAAAGTAATTATCCTGGCCGTAATAATTTTCCTGTGCTGCTGCAGTGAACGAAGGCTATTATTGAGCTACTTCTACTTTCAAACATCAGCAGAGCTGCAAACTGTAATGATTAAAGTCTTTGTTGATGAAGAGTCATAAATATTTCAAGTATATACAATTCAATGGAATGTTTGTTTGACTAAAACATACAAAAAAAAAATAATTGGAGTGATTTCATCTGTCACACATTTGTCTTTTCAGGTGGTAAGATTCTACCAAGTGAAAAATGTTATAGCTCAAAATTACAAATATTTAACAGAAGTGCAAAGCTGGTATTTTGCATTCTCTTCATCACGTCCTCCCATCCCCCACAACAGCTTCACCGCACCGTCTCTCACACGATGTTGTCAGAGTTGTGTGCAAGCTGTCCATCACCCACCTCTGTCCATCTGGATGGACGAGGCAGGTTCCCAGCAAATCCTCACAAAAACAACACAGATAAGAGTAGAAGGATGAAGATCAGATACAGCAGCAGCATCAGCCTCTGTCAGGATTAATCTAACAGACATGAATAAGATATCCGGCCATCCTCCTGACCTTGAGTTCAAGTCCAAATGTAGGTCTACTGCATGAGATTGTTTTCCGAGAGAAGGACAATAAGATAAAGACAGATCTTTAGCTTATTTATCTGACCAAATAAGATAAAGACGTTTAAAGATATTTGTGAAAATGTCTTTCAACAGATCTGCTGCTGTTTAACCCTTGTTTCATATTTCAACATCTACACATAAAACAGTCTTTAAATTGAGCGTTTCTGTTCAATCTCCTGTGTGTAGAGGGACCTTAACATATTATCACACTATCTGTAGTTTATTTAAGGATGTATTGAAATAATATGTGAAAACAGTGCCAGTGAAAGGTTAACATTAACTCATCAGCATAAATATTGATTTCGGCTTTTAAATAGATTATTTGAACTGCACCTTTTCACAGTGGAAGAATAATACAGTTTTGGTCATTTTTGAGAAAGGAATTGAGTGTATTAGCCTTCTTTCTCCATTCTTAAACCATTTCAGATGTGTGTTTGGGATCATGGTTCTGCTGAAACACACATAATTCTGCCCCAAATTCAACCTGCGTGATGATCTGAGGCGAGGTAGAATAATTTGGAGACAAGTTGCTGTCTTCATTATTCCAGTGGGAGTAAAACAGCCCCGCAGCATGATGTTGCCACCACCATGCTGGACAATTGGTAAAGTGTTTTGACATTTGCCAGCCCCACCTAGTTTCTCAAACACGGGGCCACACTAGAAACTTCATTCCAAAATCACTTGGGGACAAGTGCCTTCACACTTCCTCCCACTAACATGTGACATGGAGGTGGAATTGAACTCACAACCTTCTGAGTGCAAGAGAATTACACACTTAGCCACAGTGGGTCCTACATGTCTGTTTCTCTCTGTGTTGGATGTGTGTTTCGTCTTAATGTCCTCCTTGAGAACCCAAGCAAATTTTACCTGGCCTGGCCTCTGATTTGACATGGAGTTGAAGTATTTGGATATAGTTTTGTCTTAATAATAATAATTTCACCTAATTTATATAATGTGTTCTTACAATAAATGAATAAATTAAAAAACAACTCCAATGCATGATGCTACCACCATGCATGACAGCTGGCACAGTATCTAGGATAATAGTCTCTCCATGTTTCCTTCCAAATCAGCCACCTGCTAATTTGACGCACTCAAACTGTGTAGCCACTTTTATATTGAGAATAGTTTATTTACACTTTATTAGGAGCATCCCAGTTATAAGGGAAAAATCATTCTGGCGATTTCTCGTTATTACTTATTTGGTTGATTATGAGGTGAATGCGGAGTACGCCACAAGGGGGCAGTATAGTGTGAAGGCAGAAGGTCCGCCAGGCGGAGGGAACTCTTTTGAACAGTGTTGCGGCTTCCGCTCACACTATGAAGCGAGGCTGCATCAAGCCAGGACACAGGTTGCTTTTGAAGATCCTAACTTATTTTCTTCCGTCAGTGACTGCAACGTAGTAATCGAGATCAAACCCAGATACAGGTGGCCAAGGATCCCAATTAAACTTAAAATATAGTTTTGGAGTGGATGAAGGATCTTTACATTAAGCTTCCTGGATTACCTTTTCTAAACCTTGACTTAAACTGAATTGTAAATTTGTGAAACCTTGTTCTACATCAGGAAACCTAACCAATTAAAAAACAACAAAAAAAACCCCAAAACAAACAAACAACAACAAAAAAAAAAAAAACACACACACATACAGACTTCCAAAAATTGTGAACAAACCTATTTCAAAAACTGATTGGTGCAGATACAATAATATCTAAATATAAATTAAATGTAAGCTGTGGTGTATAGATATTGTTCATCCTGCATGTGTATTTTTTCTATTTCGGTTGAATAGTAAGAATTCCACAAGAAATTTAAAGCTTTGTGTCTTATTTTTTCTCCCTTTTTTGCATTGTATGGAAACATCTGACTGAAAATGTAGTCAGATAAACTTCAAAAACACTGATGACTATAATTTCTCCAAATCTCCTGCCAGAAAAGAAAGCCAAAGGTCAGCTGTTTGAATAAAAGAAAAATCAAATCAAATGGCATCTTTGCCTCTAAGAATTGCTCAAACTGATTCATGCCAGTGTGTTAAAAAAACAAAAATAGATACTCCTATTGGCAGAACAGAGCAGACTGTACAAACAGAAAAGGTTGCTGCAAAAACTGTTGGAGACAAGAGCAAATGACCTTTAAAATGGAATAAAACGGCACCAATGGAGCAAAAATTGTTTGATGATTCACATTTGATGTCTCAGAGGGGGCTTTAGAAGAGAATGTTCTGAAAGACAGTGTCCTGGGGAAAAGTTATTGGATATCTCTGAGATGTACCATTCATTTGTGCTGTGAAATAACAAGGATGATGAATGATTAAATTAGCCAAGAAAGTAATCGCTCATGTCAGACGTGGACGTGATTGGTGACCTCATCAGAGTGAAGCGTGCAGGTCACTGGGTTGCAGCTATGAGACTTGACCTCCCACCAGTGGGAGAGAATGGGTGGGACAGCTAATTAGAGAGATGGGAGGAAAGCTAAAGGAAGCGATTAAGACGAGAGGTGAGTGTGAAAAACAAACAGAAAGCAGCAGACAGGCTTTCTCACCGTTCCAAGGGGCACATTAAGGTAGAGCGGGGACACAGGCTGCACTGATGAATACGCTTCCCAAGGCTCCCGGGGGTTGTCCAATCAGGCGGTGCCATTGATGAATAGTCATGAGTCACCTTATCAGCATCGCCATGGTTACGCAGATGTGACTGTGGCCCCGTGAATGTGATGAGGGAACAGAAATGGGCAAAAGGCTCCTCCGTCTCCTTTCCTGTGCACATCTTGATCACCAATTAGAGCCTGGCAGGGAAAGCGTTCAGACCAAGTGTTTTGCTTGGTGGCTCAGGTGAATGGCGTGGAAAAAGGCAAGTCAACAGAGGGAAATGAGGAAAAATGACAGTAAGACAGCAGGTGAATGTGCTCGGCAAGGGCGGGCAGACGGGAGATTTTGATCGGTCTTGACTTAAAATCACATTAATTAACGATAAAGCCAGTTGCCAAACAACACGTGCAGGTGAGGGCTGACAGGAAGAGGAGATGGGAAGTGGATGACAAGATATTTAATAAAAGAGCAACGAAATTAGATTGGGCAGTTCAGCAGAGAGAAGCGTTATATGAAAAGGGGAGAAGAGGCTGAGGATGAGCAGTAAAAGAACAGCTGTGGCAAACAACATAAAGAAAATAGACAACAATATACTAGAATCAATGTTTTCTGCTTTCTGTAACGTGATTAAATGTAATGAAATTTCTTATATTGTTTAAAAAAAAGTTGTTTTAAAGTGCAGTTTTACGA